ATATTAGCTATAAAGATATTTAACTTTTTAATATAAAATACTAAAATTAGAATTAAATTAATATCTTAACAGCTTTATAAAGTAATATTATTTAATTAAGGAGGTTAGTAGTGACCCTGCAATTATTAAAACTTTTGCATATAACTGTACTACCACCTACGGAGTATATATAACTAAGTTAGGCCCCGGCTACGCAGCTATAGCGAGTGCAATTGGAAAGGTTCTTTGGTTATGCATGCATGCTAAAATTATCTGATTAGGCCACAACATGTCGTCTTGAGCAACAAGTCCCAGGATTAAAATCAGTCAGTGAGAAAGCTTGTCTTGAAAGATTGGAATGACGAGCTGGAACTGGAATTGATCGAGTCAATGCCGCTTGCATCACTTCGGTCCAGGCCGTGCAAAGCCCGTGAAGGTCCGGTCTCCATGGTACTCGGTCTGTAATTGAGTGCCACCATAGCCCCATTACTTAAGGTACTCCCTATCTAGCATTAGCTACGGAGTACACCTCAACAAGTTAACTGTCCATGTAGGCTTCGGTGGGCCAGGAGCCAGCAACCTTGTCTTCAGTTAGAACGACCACCTCAATCATATCCCACGACGACGCATAATCCATACCACGACCGCTGAGATACATTCTCCCTCACGATCGCCAGCCAAATAGCAGGGCATGAATACGTTCATTATTCAAACACCAAGAGAATTGGCTCCGTTCGATCTTACTCATCGTCTCCGCTAGCAATCGGGGATCCCTGGAAGGACCCTCCATTAACCTTAGTTATCCCATTTCCGCCTCGTTATCTCGCCTCCTCGACCCTCAGCATCTCCTTGATACGTCGCCCTCTTTCGACTGAATGACTGCGAATACGACTCTGGTAGCTGTGCCATAAGTGCCGCGCACTGATGCAAAAGCTGCACCCGCATAGCACAATCCGAGAGCATCTATCGTCGCCGAGTTGGCGACTATCATGACCGAACCGAGACGCTCTGTGCGGCCCTCGCCGCATCGGTCCTCATCAGCCCTGGCACCCGCCAGCACATCGGATTCTGCCTCTATTCGCCCACGAAACCGGCGCCTTGCTAGCGCCCTCGACGACGATAGTGATGCCGTGATCTCCCGAGAAGCCAGCCGCTCCCGCCGCGGCCGAAACCTCAATGTCCACGATATCGCTGCTTCTCCATCTCCTGCGCGGAGCTACGGCCTTTTGACAGCTTTAAGCCCTGCCAACAGCCGCTCCGCGAGTCCTCTGCCTTCAGAACGAGGTGGTACCCCTCATCGCACGAATAGCGCAGCGAATTTGAGCAACTTCTTCAACGACTCGCTAACGCAAAGCTGGGCTTCCATCCAGGGCTTCACCTCCTCTCTCCTATCAGGTGACAATGGCGCAGCGAGGAGGTCCCAGTCCCACAATCGAGCGGGCTCTCGACCTGGGACCTGGGGCAGGGACTTCTCTGGCAGTGGTAGTATGAAGAAGACAGGTGGTGCTTGGGGCCCAGCTCCTCCCCAGGAACCAAACCTGAATGATGTGGGCGCTGGCTCGCTGACAGAGCGGGAAACGGCTCTGAAGGCTGCGAGAAGGGCCATGGTGCTGGAGAGCCATGATGGTATCAACGGTGGACTGGATGTCAGTGGAAATCATAAACGCCGTAATTCCGACGAATCGACTCCCGAACAAACCCAGGCTCAAGAGTATCTGGTCTACATTCACAAGGTTGAGCCCAGTGATACATATGCAGGCATAATCTTGAAATACCAGTGTCGAGAGGATGCTTTCAGGAAGGCCAATGGACTCTGGACACGAGATAGCATCCAGGTGCGCAAATGGCTGACAATTCCTGTTGATGCCTGCGATGTGAGAGGACGGCCATGCGATCCACCCTCGTGGCACAACGCCCATAGTGTTGACTTACTTGCGCCAACACCTGCAGCGGAAGAGAACTCATCGGCCGTTCATGATGACTTCTTTAGCCGGCCAATTAATGGAATGCCGTCAGCGACACAACCTTCTGAAGAAGAAGAAAGACCGTGGACACATGTACGTTGGGTGAAAATTGACTCAGTTCCCCAACCAGTCGAGGTTGCACGGGTTGCGAGGAACGCGATGGGTTACTTCCCGCCTCGACGAAAGAAGAGCATTAGGACTGTTTCGACATTTTCGACGCCACGGCAGAGCCTTGATCTATACAGTAACCCCCCTGGATCTACAGGCACTTCGTCTCGTCGCCAGAGCTCCCTCGGTCACCGACCCCAGCTTTCTGGCACCGTTGTGTCAAGTCCGGGACGAGGTGCGATCAGTGAAGGTGGCGAAACCTTGCCGGCCTGGATGCGTCGGCCTGGTGGTGTTGGCTCCATGGGTATGAGTACACGGGCTCCTGGTCCGGATAAGGATTATCTTACTACGTGGACCAAGAAGCACTTACCTGGACTCACCTTGGAAGGGATGCCCTCCATGTCTATTATGGGCTCAGAAACGGCCCATTTTGGTTTTAAATCAGGAGAATCATCGACCATAGTTGAGAACACATCAGGGGAGTGCCAGGAAATCGGCTCGACACAGCAGGGCAACGGACTGGACAAAGCGGCTGCGGCTGTAGAGACGTGGCTTAGGGGTGCCTTGTCGCGTAAGCCAAGTTCGCAACTGGATAGGATACGAGGAATGCCTGAAGGCAGCAGACCCGAACGAAACGGCGATCTAATAGAATTAACAGACACCGGCAGTGATGATGGACGTCCTTCCGGGGCACCAACCAGTCTAATGGAGTCGCTACAGATTAAGAGCAGTAGCCGAAGCGAAGGTGAGGGGGGTTTTCGAGGACGAATGGTGGCAAAGGGTGATAAAGACGATTGAGAAGCCACAGAGCTTGAGCTCGATGTATCCATCGCTGAGAATCATGTAGAAATGGCTGGGCAGGGACAAGTGGGCGTTGTTTGTTGGCGGACTGCATGTTGGAACTAGTCTTGAGCTGCGAGGCGTTGGGAGGCATTCGCAATTCTTCAGGATACTTGGTGCTGCATGCGTTATAACAAATTTGAAGAACTTGGGGTGTTTCTAAAACTATGATGGGGTTTAGGACTGAACATATCATATACATCTAGACACACTTAGATTGATCTCGAACTCATGATCAATCACAGGTAGCAATAACATTGCATAATTCATAAATAAAATGCTAGTTGTTTATAAATAAATCAAGCAATCAGTGAGCACCTGCTTGCAGGTAGGTACATAGGTACTATAGGTAGTATTCAATGATTTTCCATATTCATGAATACTGGTAGGTATGAAATCAGGGGGTGGCATTTGTCCCAAGTTAGCGCCTTTATCTCCGCTTCATTCCCGGCGACCTGTCAATTTCGTGGCTCGCACCGCCGTAGTATGTACTTTAAACACCACGACTCGGCTCGCTACTGTTCATAACCGTCCGGGCCATGATATGGTGTTAGCCAGACGACATCCAGCTACAGAGTGCATTACAAATTAATCGTCATTCCTTATAAGAGGTCTAGTAACGCGGCAACATGCCAATCTGCATCGAATGCAGGCACCCTGTCAAGACGCTCTGGACTGCGTATTCTGGCGCAGGGGACAAGGCCAGCGGACACAATATCCGACTCACTGTGTGTCGTAACTGTGGCCGCTTCTGCGACAAGTATGTCGAACATGACTTTGTCGTGCTTTTTATCGATTTAGTCCTGATCAAACCTCAGGTGAGCCTTAACTGCGTGTTTTGATTTCTCATGTCCTGACGGGTGTAGGTCTATCGACATTTACTATACAATACCTTGATGCGAGATGATGATCGCTTAGATGTAAGTTATGAATACAGAGCACGGCATATGTATGTAATATGTACCTTACTGATGACTTCTTAGCCTTCTGTTATCCGTCTAGGCACTCTTCTTCTTCTCTTTGATGTGTACCTGACATGGGCACGATTGGAGAAGCAGATGGTGCCTGATGCCATCCCAGGCGCAAGTAACTTGGGTAAACTTTCACAGCAACCCATTGTACTTCAATATCTCTTCTTCCGTAAGATGGTTCCCAAGCCAGCTCTCATCATAAATAAACTAACTCTTGCCCAAGTCATCTTTTGCGCGCTCTCGACAGCAGCTTTCCATGTGAGCATACGCTTCCTCACATCATCTACTTTCTCTCCCCTCAACCTTCTTGGCATTCTTCCTCAGTACACAAGGCCCAATTCAGTGTCTACAGCTCTCCTAGTATCATCCTCCACGAAGCTATTCCCCATCCTGATGGTGATATGGGACTATGACGTTCCCGCCTCAGCTCGATCACTTGGCTGGGCCGTCGTGGCCAACAATGTTGAGGCGCTACGCATTCTTCTTGATTGCAACTATGCCATAGCATGTCTACTCGCTATCGCAGGGGCAGCTTCACGCTGGGTGGTCGGCCGGGCTGTTTTGCTCGCTGCTGGCCTTGCCGACGTTGACTCGATAGGTGAAAGTGGCGTGGCAGCAGACGGCAAAGCTCTATGGGCGTTATTGATGTATGCGAAGGAATGGGCAGGCCGCCTTGCTGTTGGGTAGACATTTATCACTGAAGCCAAGTAATCATACGGGAATTGTCCAAAGCAAAATGATGGTCTGCAAAGTGCGCGTCTTTGGCTTGGTATAACAGGCGTTCCAACTCCATACGTAATAAAAAAAACAATACCAGTTCAAGTGTCAAAAGTCCAACAATGTAAAATTACAACCGTACCATCACAACAGCCCTCGGCATCTCTCCCTCTTGCTTGGCGTGTATTATAGATGAATATCTAGTGGAGGTGCTCTTCTCGGATACCGCTTTTTCTCGGCGCAATAAGAGGGTGAAGCTGGGCGAGGAACGTAATCGCCCACATAAGGTAGCAGCTCACGATGGCCAAGATAGCAGAGGATCGCCAGAGTCTGGAGGAGAAAAGGTCAGCTGTGTTATCACAAGCGGCCTGTGACAAATCGCATCGACGGGATGGTTGGACTGACACTTGGTTTTCGCCCTTGGGAGCAAGGAACCACGATGCCACGCACAGGGCGGCAATGACAACGAGGCCGATGAAGACGGCATATCTGCGCTCTGGTTAGACCTTACACGCGTCGCTTAAAGGGGAGGGAATGCGTCGCTGTGTACCCTTGAGCCATGATTGAGGTTATGCTTCGAGTCTGGTCCTGCCGGCAGGAGAATATCGATCGGGGAAAGCGTGCGATTAACGAGGTTGGGTTGAGTTCGGGATACAGGAGCTTGCTTGAAGGTTGGTGTATTCGATGATTGAGAGCTTGTTAGCTGGATTGGTTGCATCACACAATAGCAAGGTCCAGGCTGAGTCAGCGGGTGCGCCAAGTTGACTACCCTATACCTCGTCGTTCGACTTGAAATCTTATACTGACTGATTAAATATACCTTCATAAAGTAAATAGTATCAAACCGACGCATATATGCTGTTACCAAGTGCACGCGGATAAATAGTTGAGAGTATTTATATATACAATGCTTTCTTGACAGGTTGTCGGCAATTAAAGCTTTACATAGGTATGCTTATATGTAAGCCATCTATGCATCATTTTTGTACTTGAGACCAGATTCCTTTCGAATAGCCCCGTATATTCCAGCCATGTCTGCAGACGAGCCCACGTGTTCATAAGCCATTGCCAAATGCGCGTCAGCAGCCTCAACATTTCGAAGTCTTACACCAACAGATTCAGCCAAGCTCATAGCATGTCGAGCATCCTTTCGGGCGAGCTCAACTGCAAAAAGAGGCTCATCACGGTTATAGTAGTCGCCTGTGAGCATACGCTGGCTATAGGCAGTGTAAGGCCCACCGAAGATTGAGTCGACGATCTGATGAATGGCTTCAGTGCCCAGACCTGTCTTTTCGGCCACAACGTGCGCCTCAGCGAGCTGCTCGGCCATGTTCAGGATAAATGTGTTTCCAAGGACCTTCAGGGTCAAGGCTTTGCTGTAGGGCTTATCCGAGAGATCAATCTCCTTGCTGGAAGTTACGCCCTTGAACCACGGCTTTGCCCTTGCAACACTGGCTGCAGGTCCAGCAAGAACACCAACGAGCTGACCAGCCTCAGCCATTTGAGGAGCACCGAATACAGGAGCAGCGACGAACTCGGCTCCTTTGGCTACAACATCCTTTGCAATGGCCTCGGTGGTGTCTGGGTGGATGGTTGAGCTCTCGATGAATAGCTTACCGTTGACGTTTTCCTCAAGCATCGCCCTGAAGGTTTCTTGAACGGCTTCGTCGTTGGCAATGCAGGAGAAGATGATGTCGGCTCTCGAGACGCCGTCGGCAAGGGACTCAACGACTTCAGTCTTGCCGACCGGAAACTTGGCACTGAAGTCAGTGGCCCGCTGAGATGAACGGTTGTACAAGAGAAGGGGGCCATCCAAGTTGCCCTTCTCAACGATGTTCTTGCTCATTCCCTGTCACAATTTAGTTTCATTTCTTCGTTTTCTAAAACAGCGAGATGAGTCTTACCCTCCCCATGTTTCCGAGTCCAATCCATAGTAGTGTGGGAGCCATCGTGTTGAGCTAGGTCGTGGTGAATAGTCTAGGACGCCAGAGCTGCTGCTCAGTATGCTCCGATTATTTAGACATGCAACAATGTAGAAGAACAAGCCAGAAATAAATAGTTTTTTATCTGCTTATAAATTATGCGAACTAAGAGAACCAACAAGTCTGAGGGAATAATGAATGATGTGGAGTTTGGTTCCATTGCGAGGAAATGCAGTTGGGTGGAGGTGTAAGCTGTATGGGGTATAGATACCCAGCATCCGTCAGTGTCATACAAACACAAAAGAAGTAAACATAATGACATATATAGTTGATTCAGGTTTCAAAGGAATTTAATTGCTTCGAAAAAACTTCACTGATTCAAAAGATTCCCTTGTCTTCTCTGGAACATGCCTATTCTTCCGATATTAGGCTGAGAGAATCCGACGCTGAAGCTCTTCAACTCAGATGTCTCCACTGGTGCCACGACAACACCGTGATTGTTGTTCGCGGAACTGAGGTATTCTCTCGCTGCAAACGTTGCCCACTCTTCAGCGCTCAGAGGGAGTGCCTCCAGCTCAGATGGGGACCGGAATAGACGGATTGAGGTTATGCACCATGCAACAAATGCCATGATACCAAGACCTGCCACAGCGAGGAAGATGACCACCATAACTGTCGGGACGTACGCCGCTCTCGCAAGACATCCCTGGGTCTTGTCTTGGCCTACTCCTGGCTCAGCAAGAAGGTAGTTGTTTCCACCGGATATCATAGTCATGGTATTCAATAGTATTGCCAGTGCATCTTGTACGTCCTGGATGGCGGAGGTGTTGAAACCATTGTACATCAAACCTTGAAAAGTTGGAGCCCATTCTTTCAGAGCTGTTCCAGATGCCATGCCTTTAATGGTCCGCTCTGCACCTGATGCTGAGACGGAGCAAGTTAGTGGAGTGAGCTGGATATCATCCTCTGACTTGTATGTTGTTTCGACGGCTGCTTTAACAGACCACAAAGACCCGTCGTTGTCAAGAGTTGCAGACGTGCTCCAGATAACGAGATGGTTAACGAATCCGGAGGACCACTGGGTTTGTTCGACGTAGCCATTGTCGTATATCAGTCCTTTCTGATTCATGTCTTGAGCGATATCCGAAGAGTTCGTTCCAGATGGCCAGCTCTGTGGTGTCTGGTCGTTAACGATGTTGCAGTTCCAAGATCCGAGAACGTCTCTCTTCTCTGGACAGAAGCTTGAATCGGTATTTAGCTTCTTGTAGATACCATAAGGACATGAATTATTGACAGCCAATAGCTGTGCATTCTGCACAACTTGAAAAGGTCGTCCATTGAATGGCGGCATGGGAAGATTTGTACCATCATCAAAGACAAGGCCCTGGCCGAATGAGCAGCGTGATTGGATCAAGTGGTTGACAACGAGGTAGGAAGTGAGAAGATCGGCAGCTTTCCCTAGGACAAACAAGAAGAGTAAGAAGGAGAAGCCAAATGCACCGCTAGGAAGAGCTCGGAGTTTTAGGGGAGCAAGTAAAAGGTCCAGCCCATCGAGAGAGTTGAGTGCTCGCGGGGCCAGGATGCTATCTCCACCTAATATGCGAAGCTTGTTGCATCCGTGAAGAACCCTGCGCACAAAGAAGCCTGTCAGGGCAAGGGCAACGAGGAAGTATACACGAAGAACCACTCGGACCTCAGCCGTGGTTATCGAAGTAATAATCATGATGTACCGTTTGCAGAACGAGATAATTTGCATAGTTCGATGCAACAAAGCAAACATATCCAAACGAGAATAACATTCCCATATATATTTCCCTCTTTCTCCCTCAGTCAGCCTTATCTCATGACTGAGCCGGGGTCTCGCCCTGGACCCTTGAAAACATGGCGTTGAAAATCGCCTCTGACTTGCTGTTCAGCTAGGGCGGTGGTGGTAGACATTGCAGCCTTTGCCAAAGCAACCATCATATCGTTTTCTTGCCATCCTCATCCACTCATCAACTAACAACTGCCTGTATTATTATATTGGCCAGTGCTCTAGCAACAGGGTTGACTTTATGCATATCTGGAGTGAAAAACCTCGTAGTCGTGTCGATTCTTAAAGCAATATATAACCATCAAATAGCCTGTTGTAGTCAAAGGATTGCAAGTCTTGCAGGTAGGGAAGGTCTCGAGTTGAACCGGAAATATCGGCTCTTGTTCAGACTATTGAAATGCTATCAGTTCGCGCTAATGGCAGACCGTCCAATATTGTGGCTTTAGTACATAGTACGCTGAAAGCTGAAACTCGGCATCAAAACGCCGTTTATTCCCTTTGCGAATGAAACATGAGTTTTAATAGGTTCAATATCAGCCTCTGCCGTATGATGCCGCGAGGTAGGGCCACATCTACATGTGACAGGGTGAGATATATTTCCAGGCCGTAGAGCATGATTGACATATATATATTTGGCGAGCTTTTTTGCATGCGGTGGTGTTAGGGTGTCTTTTGTCAAGAACACTCTTCCCTTTCAGACCGAAGCAGGCACTAGCCTCGTTGGTAGAATAGAACAATGTAATCGTAAAAATGAGGCAACATAAGAGGCAACCTCTGTTTTAATACTCATTACTACTACCTACCTAGGGACCTAGATACTATTGTGTGTACCTTAGGTACTAACTTATAGTTAGGTACCTTATAGGTCCAAGTCTTCAGTCTCTTTCATTGTCACATGGAATGACATCGTCATCTTGAGCGACATCGGCATGGAATCTGGGGCTTATCTGCTTATCGTCCTCATGCCGCCAGCCAAAAAAAAAGTCGTTATACCTCCACTACCCGGGCATCTGATAACTTAAGTGCCGGTTCCATTCGTCTCGTTGAATTTTGACTCACGAGAAAGCAGAGCATTGTCACGACTACTCTCTTGCATCTTTTCCCCATTTAGGGTCCCCTGCCCAGCAATGCTCTGCAGCTAACATTGAGCTTTCTCCCCCTACGGCCGCACATATTGTATTAGATCGCAGGTCATTCGGGGGAGGTGTTTGTTTTAAGACAAAGACTCATTCCAAGTTCTTTTATTACCTTATTCTATACCGGCCTGCCGAGAGCCAGGCACGAAGACATCACTGCCGGACATCATGAGCTGGCCCCGCGTATTGAAACAGGCACCTCGATGTGGCCACTGTGCAACATCTACAGACTCACGCTTCATAACATCTTCACATAGCATTGCGACACCGGTTCGATCCCGATATCGCAGCTTTGCTTCACAATCCGGCAACAACATCTCTTTGCCATGTCTCGGCAAAAGTGCCACTCGTCGCATGTCGGCAGCTTCTACAGCACTTGCCAAGAAAAAGGCCATTGACAGAGTATGCCATCTAAAACTTAGTACTAATCCACTGCGCGACTGATCTAATTATTGCCAGGACTTCATTGTCTCCGTCTTGGAGGTGTCGGCTACCAAACGAGATGCCAAAGGATATCTTCAGAAGTACACCGGCAAGAATCCAAAGTCTCTCACTGATGCACCTCTGTTTGTCCAGGGTGATCCGCAGCCGGAAACGGAACCGCTGGACATGGCGCCTCCGCATGTTGCTATTATGAAGCTTCGTGTCCCACAAGAGATCGATGCCACAACTCTAGCGGGAGTAGCAAATACCCTCTCTCAGTTGCGCAAGCTCGGGCTCTTGAGCGTCGTGGTCATTGACTGTGGCATTGATGAATCTCGCATGACTTTCCAAGACCAGGCTTTCCGCCTCTGTGAAGCCATCGACAGCTTCGGAGAACATGGCGCTCGTGTGGTGGAGCATGCGTTTGTGTGCTCGGAACCCGTTGGACAGAAGGGCAAATCACAGACGACTGACATCCGACTTGACGATCCCGCCTTTATCAATCACATCCTGCACCACCGCATGATGCCGGTTATCCCTTCTGTGGTCAGCCGCGATGAAACCCGTCCGCCCCAGCCTGCCGACTCGAATCAAATCCTGCTAGCTCTAACTAAGCACTTTGCAGGCGTGCAATCCAATACCACTGACACATCTGCTGAGACCGATGCCGCCCCCCCAAAACCCATTGCTCTCGTAGAGAGAATCATTCTTCTTGATCCACTCGGGGCAACACCAATGACGGGCCGGCCTGGTGCATCCCATCGGTTCATTAACTTGGAACAAGAATATGAACCGATTCTTAAAGAACTCATGGGCCCTGATGGATCCCCCCTAGCATACGACAAGGACCTCCGCGCCTCGATCACTGCACATGCCGCGAATTTGGCCCTTGCTAAAGATGCCTTGGCGATGCTACCACATACTTCATCTGCTCTCATTACTACACCTGATGCTGCGGCCAATCTTATGAAAACGTCATTTGAGCCCAACGAAGCTATTGGGTCTGATTCTCTCTTTGGAATCGGCGGTATAGTAACAACTCGGAGGAAGAAAAACCCACTACTGCACAACCTTCTCACAGACAAGCCCGTCTTCTCGTCGTCCCTCCCGATGGCGCGCGCACCAACGAATTCCGGTAGGGAACCCACGGTGAGGGCATCGGGAGGCTCGACTCTACTCAAAAAGGGTATGCCTCTTCGAGTCTTCCCCCACCCTCGGGAGAATCCATGGGTTCCGCCCAAGCCTGGAAGTCCGAGACTCCGCTTGACCGATAAGTGCATCGACCTCCCTCGACTGGTCCATCTCATCGAGGACTCATTTGGCAGAAAATTGGATGTGGATGACTATCTCAATAGAGTCAACGAGAATCTGGCCGGAGTAATCATCGCTGGAGAATACGAAGGCGGTGCCATCTTGACGTGGGAGAAACCCGAAGGTTTGGACGACCAGACCGCGTATGAGCAAGGCCGTTACGTCCCGTATCTGGACAAATTCGCCGTCCTGAGGAAGAGCCAGGGCAGTGGTGGTTGCGCTGATATTGTTTTCAACGCCATGGTGCGAGGCTGTCTCCCCGATGGTGTATCGTGGAGAAGTCGGAAGGATAACCCGGTGAACAAATGGTATTTTGAGCGATCTTTGGGTACCAGTAAGTTGTTTGGGTGCAACTGGACTATGTTCTGGACAACACCCAATTTGGACAACCAAAGTCCTATGTTGCGAGATTATGAGTCGGTATGCAGGGGAGTCGAACCTTCCTGGGCTGACAACAAACACATTTTGGATTGATTGATGGGAGTATAGAGCTTTTATGCGATTCAAAGAGGAAGAGGCGGAACAAGTATTTCAATGAGCAATATTTACGGCGTCTAAAAGAACATCAGATCTATAATTTATCCCAATACAAATATCAATTGATCGACAGAGACCCTCTCACTTGTGGTTTTCTGCTTCAGATTTATTGTGTAAAACACTCTGCAAAAGGGACTTGTCAAGAGGCCTCGTCATCAAAGCGGCTTATCTTTGTACGGAGTACAGAGTAGGTAGAAAGCTATGGGTTTCTTGCGGTAGCGGCTGATCTGAGCTACCCTTAAGTTGTGGCTGATTATTAGGGAGTTTTGCATCGGTACCTTACTAGCTTACCTTGCTGTATCAGAAGAGCTAGGGCCACCTTCGAGATCTGCACTCGCCTAGGCGGGCCCAGCCTGTGAAGTGGTGAGCCTGTAAGCCCCTCGAGCCCCTGGAAGAGGGAAAAACTCAAGGCTCCAGTCAGCTACAGTATCTGGGCTGTGGGGTTTTCTCTTGTGACAGCGTTCCCATATCTCTAACCAGACTTACTAACCTTCGCCTTACCTTACCTACTTCTGCCTCAATCCACGCTGACGCAACATAACATCCCCTTTTCACTTCTCCAAATCTCCAATCAACCTCGCATCAACAAATCGATCGAATACTCAATTATCCCGGACAAGCCGACACAATGGATTTCGGAAACTTTGGAACTAACATTGGAAAGGGCCTCTCGTATGTGCTCCCCTGGAATTAACAAGATAGCACAGTTGCGCAATCTTGTTCCTCCAAGTGCTGGCCGTGATCGAACCTCGGGCTCACCATGTTCAAACAGCAACTTTGGGGCTTCTATCACCCCCTTTGCGTCGCGCACCTTGCAATACACCAAGGAGCAGTTCGGTCAAACTGAGGACAAGGTGGGTTGAGCCGTTTTGCACTCTATCGCGCAGCTGGTATTCTTACATGTGGCCTATAGACCCAACTCCCTCCTGACTACATCGACCTCGAGAAGCGCGTCGATGCCCTCAAGCAAGCTCACCAGAAGATGCTTGCTGTGACGTGAGTCCACCAGATATCTGCCTGCGCCATCACATGCCAGGGGTGTTGGTGATCTAACATGCTTTTTGTAGCTCCCAGTACTCTAACGAAGCCTACGACTACCCCCCTAATATCAAGGAGACTTTCCAGGATCTTGGTCGCACCGTCAGCGAAAAGGTCAGCCTCCTCTCGTCTGCTACCTCTCCCGCCGAAGCCCAGGCTGCCCTCGTCGCTCCTCCCGCCGCCAAGCCTCAACCTAAGACATTCAGCCATGCTGTCGCTCGTGCCAGTTTGGCTAGCAGCCAGCTCCTCCACCAGCACCACACCGGCGCCGGAGAGGACCCCCTCGCAACCGCCCTGGAGAAGTATGCGCTTGCTAGTGAGCGTGTTGGTGAGGCTCGTCTTGCCCAGGATGCCCAGATCCAAAGCCGTTTCCTCGCTGGTTGGAACACTACACTCAACACCAACTTGACTTTCGCTACCCGCGCCCGCAAGAATGTTGAGAACTCTCGCCTCTCTCTGGACGCCGTCAAGGCTCATGCCAAGGGTACCACTTTCAAGTTGGGTGGCCATGCCCATGGCGACCAGCCTCATGAGGAGCAAGAGTTGAGCCCTGAGGCTCAGGAGGAAATCGAGAAGGCCGAGGACGAGTTTGTCACTCAGACCGAGGAGGCCGTTGGCGTCATGAAGAATGTGAGTTCACTCACGAAACAGTTAATCATCCAGCATGATTGTATTGACCAAATCAGGTTCTTGACACACCTGAGCCCCTGCGCAACCTTGCCGAACTTGTCTCCGCCCAGATTGAGTACCACAAGAAGGCATACGAGATTCTTACCGAGCTCGCCCCCGTTATCGAGGGCCTCCAGTCTGAGCAAGAAGTGCGTCGTGCCTCTGGGTTTTGAGCATAGACACGTAGAAAGGGGCTGACATGTTGTGTTACAGGCCACTTACCGAAAGAGCCGCGAGGAGTCTTCCTAAGTTATTGATAAAGGGATGTGTGTTTTAACTATGTGTCGCTCAAACATACGGCATGCAAACGCCGAGTCGGACTTTATGTCCATGATATGAGTGAACGCAAACGCGTGCTGTGTTTCTTTTTCAATTTTCTTACGTCAAGATCCAAGTTATATGTCTGGAAGGTATAAGATATTGTCTTAATTCGGGTGTTGAGATATCGACCAACTCAAGATTCGAGGGCTTCTTTTTGTCTTCATCCTTGCAACGGACTTTATGAGTCTATTTGCTAGCTCCAAGATGTAGAGACTTGGTGATGTGGTGTGAATGGATTCAACGATATTAGACCTGCATGACCTCGATCAATAGCTGACATGCAACACTGCGACATGTTATCAATGTAAAATCTCGAGTTTTCCCTGACTGTGGTGGATACCTACCTACAACTACATATTCTATGACCTGGCAGTACCTCGTCGGCTTGAAGAGTCACGTGAGCACACACGTGCATTCTGAGACGTCAATGCTGGGGACGTTTAGTCTATAGTCCAATGAGGTCAATTCAAATTCCTCTGACCATTCCGTCAACTAAGTCACGACGAAGCAATTGCAATTGACCTCGCCAGGATGAGGCCAACAGCTCGTGTGTTTGCGCGTTACCTAGAAGCCGGTACTCCCACCGGTCTCACCGGTCTCTGGACTCATGCCACGCCCCGATCGACCCTCCTCTACCTGTACGGCACAACCCTCAGCAAGCTCCAGAGCATCCCCGAGACCTCCATGTACCGTCAATCCGTTGAGGCTGTCACCAAGCACCGTATGTCCCTCGTCGAGCAGATGATCCCCCCAGGTTACAGCGAGTGGGCGGCTCGCGCCAAGGAGCTCGTCAGCAAGAATTCCTCTCAGTTCCGAGTGGCCAGCGGCCGCGTTGACGGCAGCGAAGCTCATACTGTTAAGCTCGGCGACAAGGTCTTTGTGGTGGGCCGAAAGCACGAGGCGGGCGATATCCGAGTCGAGGAGTGGAATGGAGAGGAGGATGAGGGCCCTGAGTACGAGGGAATTCGAACACAAAAGGAGCGAGAGGACCAGGTTACCTGGGCAGAGCGCAAGCCTCTCGAGGATCATGAGAAGATTGAATGGGAGGATGAGCCTCAGATGACTGCCGACCAGTACGTTATCTCTGGACATTTATAACTAGAACTATGGCAGGCAGGCTAATTCGCACGACAGGGTCCACGAGCTCGAGCAGAAGATTGGAGCTGGTCTTATCGAGGAAGTTATTCAAGTCGCCGAGGGCGAGCTTAAGCTAGTTGAGACCATGGAGAACACCAAGGTGTAAGTTGCGACGATTATATCAGCAGTTTGGAATTCTTACTAATAGCTTATAGTTGGGAGGACCTCGAGGAGAAGCCCGTCCCTGGTCAGTGGACTTACTTTGACAGAACCTAAACAGAGCCAGCAGCGGAAGATGAAGCAATTGTAAAAGTAGAGGGGATTTTGTACATAGGATGATGATGCTGGGCTTTGTGATTGGGTCAATAGAAATGAACCTTCAAGCTTTACTGATGGACTGGGATGTGAAGTCATGACATGAACTACTAACGGTATTTTAACGTGCTTTGCCTTCACCAAGCCGAGGTGCATTCAGTTTTCTTCCTGCTTGTTCATGGTTAGGTAGGTATGAAGACAGTTGCGGCCAAAGTGTTTGTCTTTCTGCAATTCGAAGTAACGATATACCTAAGATACCTACATCGGTGGGGCCTTGTGCCTTAAATACTTAACTACCATACCTGCTAAGACTTTCAAGATCTGTCACATCAACCACCATCAACCTCAGCGTCACTCACAATTCCACCGCAAAATGGACTCCTCCTTACTGAATCCGCCATCATTCTCACAACAAATAAGATCAAACAAACGCAAACGGCCGGAAACAACACATGGCAATTTTCCAAGCTCAATGGCCCAAAGCTCCATCAACCCTCTCAGCCATTCTCCTGGTGTAGTTGCCCAGTTCTCTATCGCCGGCCTCTCAGAGACGGATGAGAATCCCTCACAGCGCACACGCGACTTTCCACATCGCGGTATCTCATCAAATGAAGCCTTTTCTATTGAAGCTGAGAGTGATGAAGACCCGGAAACGGAAGGAGACGAAGCAGCGCGCCCAAAGCCTAAGAAATCTCCAAGTCGTAAACGGGGTGGTCATTTTGATGTCCTCTTGCAGTCTATTCACTACTTTCTTGATCGAGGAGAGATAGTTAAGGCATCTCGTGCGTATGGCCTTATTCTGCACCTGCGTCCTTCTGGTCTCCCTATCGATATTCGACATCATGATCTCTGGGCCGTAGGTGCAGAAATTCTCATGCGTGAAGGTGAAGAGACTTCACAGCAAGACGAAGGCTCACATGATAATCAGCCAAATCCAACCAAGAGATGGGGCCGGGCTGCTAATATGAGCAAGGCCAAAGCCTATTTCGATGCCTTGATCCAGCAGCATCCCTACGACTACAAGACCCCAAAGGTTGTCTCGGCCTTGGATTTCTGGATTGCTCAATTTAGCTGCGAAATCTACAATACGCATACCGAACATATACTGGCCCTGGATCGGCTGGATAGCGAAATTGATGAAGATTCTCGCCGAGAGTCTTTCGGCAATGATGAAAGCACCGCAAGTGACGAAACAGACAGCGTTGAAGCGAGGAAACTTCACAAGAAGGACGAGCTGCGAGTCCAGGCATTATCCATCATGAAGGATATCACGAAGAGGATGGATGTACTGATGCAGGATATGCCTTACTCGAGGAATCAACATTATCTTCGATTACGCGCCATGGCCTCTTTTTACATGGCAGATCTAGTCCTTCCCATCAGCCCCATCTCGCAGTATCAGGCTGAAGCAGGGCAGAAAGCAAGACTAATGGAACAACAGAGTGCCAGAAATCAACTGGAGAGGATAATCACATATGGAGGCGAGTTGGACAAAGCTGCATGGGAAGCTTTGAGCCCTTCAGATGATGTCGAGGGAGATACTTCTATTCCATTATACTCAAGTCTACCGATTAGGGGTCTCTAGTCTTGTTGATGATCAACGCATCCTTCGGCTGTCATACTAACTTGTACCGGTTTGGATAGGGGCAGATGGGGGAGCGGACGGAGGGGCAGACACAGACACAGACACAGAGGCGGACGCGGAGGCAGATGCTCGTGATGTTGACCCTTTGTTGGCCCAGCGTTGGAGGATCAACGCCTGATTCGAGCTTCCCACCACGACACACCACTCTCCTCCGGGACTCCAAGCTGCCTGTCGACCCACGAAATTCGCAGATGAAGACTCCGTCTTATGTGCCTTCAATGGCTCATGGGGATCCTCTTGACTGTATCTCGACGCCCACGTCTCTAAGGTCTCTGCGTTATAATCACCAATCTCTTCGCTCAACCTGATTGCGTCTGCTCGGAAGGCGCTCGGAATGTCCTTGTCGGCCCCTCCGCTCCGGCCTTTATTAGAATCCGTCTTGGGGGGTCGACCCTTCACAAGCCGCATCCAACTTGGATGGGGGACTGGTTTACTTCTGTCCCTGTTGGGGTCCTTGAGCACTTCCATGAACTCTCGGTACGCTAGCAAACGTTCAAAATCCCAGAAGAAAACGTTCCCACCTGCATTGCAAAATGCTAAAACTGGATGCTGGTCCGGCACAAAATGAAGCTTGAAACGCATGAAGAACTGCGGGCCACAGTTAGGGGTATGGAACTGGAGGAGCATGGTATACTGAGAAGGGCACTGAGGAGACATTGTTGGAACAAACGCTGAACGAGTGAGACGGCTCGCCTCATCGTAATTGGTTGGAACGGTTGTCTGAGCTGTCGGTGCCATGCTCTGGGGAGGGGGAGGATTTGCAGAAGAGAAACCCTCTATTCTCCAGAGTGAGATAACATTGTCATGGCATGCCCTGGATAGGATATAGTCACCATAGAAGGCCACGCTATACCGTATTAGCATGCAGATCACCAGATATGAACACAGAGCCTACCAATCAATGATACCACTGTGGACTGCTGAGGTCGAAAAGTGAGGGTAATGGATACGGACAGGGGTTGTAATGGCCTCGGTGGGGAGATCTGGGAGCGTCCACTTTGATGAATTAGAAAAGTCCGCCTGAAGCTCGTTGAAGCATAGTTACCAGGTTGATAATCTGGTCATGTCCAGCAGACAGAATATACCGGCCAGTGTCATGGAAAGCCTATCAGCAATTGTCAGCATTCAGGAGGAAGACGATGATGAAATTAGTAAAAATCTCACCAAGCTCAGAAGATCCCATGAATGGCCCTCACCAGCAAGGATAACCAAGCAGGGCCGGTTTGCGTGAACTGTGTCAAGACTCCAGACACGAATACTCGTGTCACCAGAAGCGGAGGCGATAATAGACGGGTTTGAAGGCGAAGTTGCTAGATCATTGACATCCTGTTGCAAATGAGTTTCTGTGTCAAGGCGTGGCGAATTGGAGCTGATGAACTAACACCTCCATGGCCAGTCAGGCACTAGAAGCAAGCAAGAAAGAGTTAGCGACTGCCATTACACAGCATTTCCTTGGAATAGAGGATACCCTGTATAGTTTCCCGTTCACAACATCATAGATCTTGACTTTGGCATCGACTCCACCAATGCATAGGTAGGGGGCGCCTGTTACGGGATCTTTTGTCCAAGTACAACAGCATGCGGAAGCCTCCTCCTAGACAATGTTATCGAACCGCAATGGGCAGGTAGAGTACATCAAGCAATACCTACATCATCATCTCTGATCACCGAGAGGACCTCGCATGGGTTGTTGTCAGCTGTTTGAGATAGGGTGCAGATAACCACCTAGGCACGTGTGAGAACTCATTCCATCAGAGTTGAACAAGCTGAGGGCAGACTTACATGCTTTTTGCTGATAGCGGCAAAGACCGGTTGTGCATCAAGCGGCTGGTAAGGACAGAACTTGACATCGAAGAACTCTATGTTTTAGAAAAGATAGTTCTTCTGTTAGAAAAGACAGTGCATTGACTACTGAGTGTAATGGGGGAAG